GGGAACTCAGGACCGAGGGGCAAACAGACAGCACATGCTTAATACATTGAGCCACGAGACCAGACAAGAGACAGGGGAGAAACAAGGACTAACGTATGGACGGGATGACCAGCACCACCTGCTGGTCAAACGGGGAAGGGGCACGGAAGGACCACAGCGGGAGGCTGACCCTGACAGGATGTTTCTAGCTGTTGAAAAGAACAGGGGCTAAGTGAAGTTTACCTGGGGCTTGACATTTTGGATTTGAAGGAAGTTTGGCATTGGGGCTAAAGTACTCGGGGCCCGAGTGATCGATCCTAGCGACACCCACGATCAGCACCACTTCCTGTTAAGCTGGCTTCCCAGTCCGGAATCTGAGGTCTGACGAATCTGGCTGTGCTTTTTCCTGTGTTTGCCCGAGGGTCTGTGGGAGACCTCTGTCGCTGCTGGTAGAGCACAGGCAGCGGTGACTCTCTGAGCTCTGTTCTTGCAGGCCATCGCACACATGTAGCGAGGCGTCTTATGGTGACGTTCCTGTCCTTACGTTCCAGGAGCGCCTCTTCTTCGTCATGGAGTTTGTCAATGGCGGCGACCTCATGTTCCACATCCAGAAGGTGCGGAAGTTCGAGGAGAGGCGTGCATGCTTTTACGCTGCCGAGATCACCTCAGCCCTCATGTTTCTGCACAGCAATGGCATCATCTACAGGTGGGCGCCCCCTACAGCCCAATCACTCATACTGCACCCCACATAAGACACAAACTTAACACTGAGCGATAGAATCCCTCTGGAAAATACCGGAGGCTAGCTGTATAAGGATTTAGGGGGTTCATCTGTTGTACCCTTGACAAGGTTCTTGCATTACTTCACTCAAATACATGCATCCAATATCACTTTCTTTAAGCTGCTTTCGGTAACACTAATTAGCCACTTATAAACCAATTTCCTTAATGACCAATCTGAGGGCTTCTTCTGACTGTACTTTGGTTTTATGAATGAGCACAACAATGTTATTTGAGATTCACTCAGAATCAGACGACGTTTCCATCCGCAGTGACAAGCTTCCTCTTCAAACAAACCGCTGCTTTTCAGCTCACAGCTAAACTCAGCCCTGCAGATGTAGCCTTTGCTTCTGATTAAATCTTACTTACGTCCCAAAAGGCACGGAACTGCAGTAAATCCTCTCACTGTGCTAAAATATTTGTTTAATTTTTCTTTCAGCTGAAGCATTTCGCATGATTGCAGGATAGATATTTAATTCTTTTATTTACATGCAGCTTTGAATCACAGGAAAGGGGGGTGGGGTCAAACAGGAAGTGGCTCCACTATTATGCTGATAAAACAAACACAACATTAAACAAACTTAATCACCGAGTGGGAAGGAACCAGGCTGTGCTCGAAAAAGGCCGTCAGAAACGTTAACTATGAGTCATAACAGATTAGGGAATTTTGTGCTTCTTGGGAAACAGATGAAAGAAACTGTAATTGTATAATTATAAACTTAATATTTAATACGTCATTGTTAACATTAAGAATAAGGGCTTAATTGTGAAACAATTGTTTAATGAGAAAATGCCTTTAGCCTTTTATCTTTTCAACCTTTTTCACTTTATTTAATAAATGCTTGTAATCTGTGATGTTTTTCGATACATTTCCTGCTCAGCGACTGTATTCATCAGCTTCCCCTGTATCTTAGCCTGACTTCTGTGAATTAGGCCTTATCACTCTGACAATCAACACAATGCTTTTTATGGATTGCATTGAGCTGGTGGGCTGCTTGGCCAGTTGATTGCCTGATTGTTTGAGGTGCCTAGAACCTCTTATCGATGGACTGGAATCTCATTGCAGGCATTGCCCATGTTCCTGATGCATTTATCTGTGCTGGTTATTGATCTGGGGTCATTCGGCCGGGTTTGGTGTGTTGATTAGTCCTGCCCATTGTACTACCTGCAGATTCGTACAAATTGGCGTGTTGTGTTTTGTTCTGGCCCCTCAGTGGCGTGGATAACGAGGGCATCACTGCCCCATTGCCCCGTCTCTCTGCTGCGTGTTTCCCTGTGTGTCAGATAGCCCCACCGAACTGCTATAAATAAATCTGTCCCTGTAACGGAATCTTTTCCTCGTCATCAAATCCCCACGTCACACGGCTGATGCGTTCTCACCGTAATCTGCGGATTGGCAGTTTATCAGCACGACCAAACCACCATCAAAGTGACACTCTCACACTCTCATTCATTCAGTGCCAGCATTTCAGATGAACCTGCCTCACCTAATGGTTGTAAATAGGAAACATTTTTAATATTCAGTCAACCAAGAGGCCCCATTGTTCAGGGATCCGTTGAGTGTATCTTTATCTCCACATTGTTTCTGCAGGTTGTCCGGGTGCAGCCACACCCCCACAATAAATCGTCTCTATGCAGTTGATCCCAGATTAACACTAACGACTGCCTCTTCTGAGCAAGGCTCGTCGTCGTGGAGAATTCTGAGAAACCTACATCATGTTTTTTTTTTCCCTAAGTCTAAACATTTTGCCACGGACTAATTTGTCCGTGTACAGAGGGGATGAGGATCCCTGGCCCAGAGTGATAACCTCACTGTAAATGTGGCATGTCGGGATAGGAGCATCAGGAAGGAGCTTCAAGTTCAGGGCCGGTAAACGTCTCATCTCGTACTGGGTGTATGATTCTGTGGGTGGAGTGTAAATCCTCAGGCTTTATCAGTTACCGTGACTGAAGGCAAACATCCAGGATGCCTGCGTATGGATAATCTGTCCCTGACAGGTGATAGCGGGAGACTGCTCACCTAAAATGGCGACTTGGTGAAGTCCTGTGATGACATCACAAACCAAGAAACCGAACGATTAAAAAAAGAAAAAAAAGGAGAGAGACGTAAACAGGACAGTGCCTGCCAGGGCAGTTCAGCTGCTGCAGCTTTTTTGCTATTTTTTTCCCTGCACACTAGAAAACTAATAGCTGCAGTGGAAACAATCTGACCACTAGAGAATAAATGAAATAACTGCAGGCTTTGCTGTTTTTCACTTCAGGACGGAAAGTCAGATGCACGTCCTTGTTTGTTTGTTTCGTTTTTTTCTGGGGGCTGTTTGCCTCACGTTATCGGTGCTTGGCCATCGCTCTCTCGCTTTTTTGCATCTCTTTTTAGATGTTTCATCTGTGTGTTTCAGCAGTTGTTTTGATCCAAAGTACCTCTCTGCGGTTTCTTCTCTCTGAAACCCCAAGGAGGAAATGGTTTTAGAAGGAAATGATGAAGACTTGATGGGAACTGGATTGGCCTCCCATCTAGAGCTTCCTGAGAGGCTTCTGGCTCGTGACCCAGTACCAGGGGAGCAGCTTGGGAAGACTGATGGATGGATGGATGGATGGATGGATGGATGGATAATAAAACATGTACTGTAGAGATAAACTTAGATACGCTCTTCATGTTTCCTGCCAGGGACCTTAAGCTGGACAATGTGCTCCTGGACAAAGACGGCCACTGCAAACTGGCTGATTTTGGCATGTGCAAGGAGGAGATCTTGGAGGGTATGACCACCAGCACCTTCTGTGGAACCCCAGACTACATAGCCCCAGAGGTAGCTGCTCTTCCTGGAATGGCTCAGTGCCGCGACGCCTTCCACGTCCCAGCAGCTTCTCCTTCCTTCCTTGCTGTAGTTTCACCTCCAGTTCCTGCTCCTGGTCCTCACTGACACCTTCTGTTCCCTCTCTACTCATTAAAAGGCCAGTGGTCTTGCTTTGGTTCTTCTGTGTGGTTAGCACTGTGTCCCCTGTTGGTATCAGGACTGTGTGACTGTGTGCGTGGCTGAGTGTGTTAGTGTGTTAGAGAGAGACAGAGAATGGACAGCTAACATTCGTCCATCCCCTCCAGATCCTGGAGGAGATGGCGTACGGTCCCTCCGTAGACTGGTGGGCCCTGGGCGTGCTGCTCTATGAGATGCTTCTGGGCTACGCTCCCTTCGACGCCGAGAATGAGGACTCGCTGTTCGAGGCCATCCTGACGCAGGAGGTCACCTACGAGAAGTGGCTGAGCAGCGAGGCTGAGGACATCCTGAAAGCAGTAAGTCCACCGGACCACCACGATGCTCGCAGAGACAGTTTAGCCTGTAACAGTAATTATACCACCTTTAATTATATTATAACACCTTTAATTATAACTCATATCTCCCCTGCTATACAATCTGACCTCCAGCAAAAATGCTGTCTATATACATGGACAACAACAACAATGTGGTGGCACCAACAGTACACTGCCAGAGAAACAAGTACCAGGTTGTACCTTTGAGGGTACAATTACTTGTCACTGGAGCTGTACCCTCAATGATCTGCTAAATATACCCTAGTTGTAGGTAAATGTTCCCTTTTTAAGGTGCAGAAATTGACTCTGAGGTACATTATTGTACCGTTGGGGATAGTTCCAGGGCTGTACCCTTTTTTCTGCCAGTGTAGTAGCAGTGTTGGTAGCTGAGGTGAGAGGGCAGCACAGCTGAAGGCCTGATGTCTCCTGTGATGATTAATGAGCTGATTCTGAGTCCCTTTGCCCTTCGTGAGGCAGTCGTGAGTACGCTGCCCTCACCGCATTGCCCATGGGTCCCTCTGCCCTTCGTGAGGCAGT